ACAAAGAATTATTTCTGATAACGGAACTGAATTTAAAAATGCAATTGTAACAGATTTATGTACTTTACATAAAATCGAATTTAATTAAACGACTCCTCGAAATCCTAATTCGAACAGTCCTATTGAGAGATTACATTCTACCTTGAGAGAAAGCTTAACAAGCTCGAAATTACAAAGCCCAAGTAAAAACATAAATGACCTAATGATAACTGCAACTATAATAACAGCATACATAGTGTTACAGGTTAAACACCTTTCCAAATAATTAAAGGCGATTTAAATTATTCAAAATTCACAAAATAAAATAACCACAGATTATATCAATAATCTTGCCGAATCATTGGAAACTCTAAATAACAATGTGAAAAAGAACCTGAATTAAAGGATCCTATTTTTATTAAGCAATTCGACAGAAATGAAATTAGTCCTCGATATGGTACTGAAACACAAGTCACATTTAGTAACCAAATGGTAAAGCGACAACATTTTGTTTCAGAAAAACCAAAATGTTCCTGGCAACCTTCATCATCCTCATCATAGGAATTTCCAGTAACGCCCACACGATAACTCCATCGAGAAATCCTTTTTTACCGATTTCTATAGGAACCACTTACATCAAAACACAGCATAACACTGCATGTTATCAATAGTAATACAACGAGTGCAATGGAAATTATCGGTAATTTTTGGGAAATCTGCCCGAATGCATTTTTCAGTTAAAAACGCATGAGTGCAGATTTGTCGAAAATTATAGATATATTTCCATTGCACGAGTTGTATTTTATGAGACAATTTCATGAATCAAAAATTTGATTTTTTTGTCAAAAAATGTCAGAACACCAGTTACCTACTATGCAATTATCGTGATAATTTGCACTACTGCAAATTATCGCGTAATTCCAATCTGATTCAAATCAACAATCAAAACATGTCAGTTTATTGCTGGAATGGCAGTTTTGAGAGATGTATGAAATTCTCACATTAATACTACCCTTATTGGAAAAAGTATTAAAACCCTCGAAATAACTTTAAAGAATTTGAACAATACTTCAAATCAAACCAAATGGTCTAATAAAGAAGAAATTGTTACTTTATTACAAGTAAATATTGAAACTAGTCAATCACGTATCAATGTATTAGAGAAATTTGTAAAATAATTCTCACACAAACGAAACAAAGTGGAGTATTAAATTTTATAGGTACAGCACAAAAATGGCTATATGGAACATTAGACGCAAATGACGGTGATAGACATGATTCTTACATTCAAACATTAAATGAGATACAGAAAACTATCAATAAAAATTTAAAAGATCAGAAAAACGTACTTAAATAAGTAACGAAAACATTTCACGATCAATTTTCAAATATCGAGTATAATCAGATATTAATTTCAGATAAGATAAGAAATATTTCGACGGATAATCAGGATATTCAAATTATCTTACTGATGAATTTAATTTTAGAAAATATTAATATGCACAGTAGTAAACTACGCGAGTTAATTAACCACATACAAAACGCAATCAGTTTTGCATACGCAAACATAATGCATTATACAATACTGCAGCAAAATGAATTAAACTTGATCTTGAAAAACATACCCACGAGTCAACAAATACCGTTTGATAACGTAATTAAATAGTATGAGACAAGGTCCTCTCATGTAATAATTCAAAAGGAACTAATTATATTTACTATATTTACACCAATAATTAATCCTAAACCTTTTATATTGTATAAACTATTTCCTATACCCATCCAAAATAATACAATTAGTGTTAAGTATCCTTACCTTTTACTTACCACAGTCACGTATTACAATGCTCTACAAAAATGTACAAATATTGAAGACATTTATTTGTGCAAAATGGAACTATTAAAACAAGATGAGCCCTGTGTTCACGATATTGTATCTAGTGAACATCAAATTATGCCCGTTACGAAAATTCAATACGAAGAATCAACAATTGAAGAAATACCCAATAATCAAATATTGGTTATTCCAAAACGACATGTGACAGCAATGCTGCAATATGACCAGAACAAATATATGGAAATAATTTCCACTCTTATCGTAATATCCAAAGGAAAATGTTCAAAGACAATTACCAATCAAACATTTTTAGAAGACACGCATGAGAACTTCAACCTAGAACTCTAACTATCAATCATCGACATTCCTGAACTTTCAGAGAATACCACAACTGTAAGACTAAGAGAAGTCGACCATGATGCTCTTCAATCAGCGATTAAAGAAGCAAATAAATTAAAGACTCACCTATTAAAAGAGTTAAATTTTGAAACTAGTAATGTGTCATCCTATATTTTAATCATAGTATTAAGTTCTATTTTTATAACAATTATTATTAATCTATATTTTAAAGGAAAATGTAGCAAAACAAAAACTGAGGTACAGATTGAATTGCCCAACATTTTTAATCAATGCCAATTTGCAACCACTTAAGGAGGGAAGAGTTATATTATAAAACCCTATGTTATTATTATACAAATAATTCCCTTTTTCAATGTTAAACATAAGCATACGCCACTGTAAAAGCCCACGATATTAAAAAGTTGCTGAGTAAGGAATATCAGCCTAGAAAAGTACCGTCAAATCAAGGTTTCGCTCACACAAATGCATCGTCGGCAGTATTTTGCCATAAATACGCCGCGCGGAGCTCCTCTGCTCATTTTTTTGTTTTTAGTTGTCACTATAGCAATTAAAATCAAGATTCTTTTGTTTCCAGGCTTTTTTAGGGTCTAGTATTTTATGTTGTAACTTCTTAGTTTTTAATAAAATAAATAGTTTTTAAAAACAAGATTGACTGAACGAAAAATATAATTAGTTTAAAAATTTCAACGCGCCAAAGCAAAGTTACTCATCAAATTCATTTTTTATTTAATAAAAGTCGTGGTATGCAAGACGTACAAAATTACGGAGGTTCAAATAAATAACAAATAAAAACATTCACTGTGTTTAATTAAATCCCATACGTTCCGATAAGGGCGGGGATTACAAAACTTGTTTGACAAAAATAAAATTTACCTTCTGGAATTTCGTAGTAATTCCAGCAGTTAACTTCTAGTTTTCTGTCAAAATAGTTTTATAATACCCACTCTAAGTCGAATAAAGCAAAATAAGTAATAAACTCTACAACACAAATTTTTCTATTATTATTTCCCAAACTTAAATGGTTGTGTCGCTTACCCACAAGGCCACTTGATTCTCTGGAAAGTAGCTCAAAATTTGGCCATTTAAAAATTTCGCCAAGTTTTTCCATTTCTATACACCGTTTCAATGCTCCACAGTCATCATATTTCGGATCAAAAAACCATTTATTTATAGTAGTCGAAACAGTTGCTGTTTTTTGAGGTCCAATTTTCAAAGCTCTGTGGAAATCCATAAGGATTCTGGCAAACTGATTTATGGCCGATTGTGCATCTGGTTCACTGGAATCTTTATTCATTTTGGGGGCGGGTTCTATCTCACTTCCGATGTGAGGATTGAGGGCCTAAAGACCCCGTAATATAAACACGGACAGTTCCCCGTAAATAGAACACTATTTATCAAAATATAGTCGAACAATAAATAATAACTTTTTGATGCGGTTTCTTGACTGTTTTTTTGAAATAGTAGTTAGTAAAAAATTTTTCACGAAACTTAAACCTTCTATTGAAAAAGACCTGCGCACTAATACCATTTACAAAATCAACTGCCAAGATTGTGACAGCTGTTACATTAGTAAAACCAAGCAATATATCCATAAAAGGATAAAAAATCATAAGAATAGCTTACACAAACCAGCCGAAAATAATACTGCGTTAACACAACACTGCTTCAACAATCTGCATCAATTTGACTTCAGCAATTTCGAAATCATTGGTAAAGAACAGAATCTTTCAAAAAGACTCTTCCAGGAAATGTATCAAATTAAAAAAAATCAGAATTCCATCAACTTCCGCACTGATATCGAGAATTTAAGCAGTATTTATGATAATTTAATAAACTCATAAGAGAGTTAAAAGGTAGTTACCACAATTTTAATAATTACCTATGTATAAACACTTCGCTCATACCTCCTTTATACACTGCCCTTTTCTTTTTTGTTTGTTCCAAGTTCAATTTTTCTTTGTTTTTTCTTGTTTTCTCTAAATTTTATGTAACCATTCATTTGCAGTTTTTTCATCTTCCAAAACAATATCATACCTAATAATATTTTACCATTTATATTTAATAGGAAGGAATGTACGAACGTCAATTTTAATTTGATCTATATTTCAGTACTACTTGTGACACAGAATAAGCGACAGGCATTTCTGCATGTGTTTTATTTTTTTTTAAAAAACCATGTTTTTGAATTTTTGTTTGTTATATAAGAAACTCTGTTTGTCATTCTATGTCCCATCGTCCTCGTCAAATATATTTATAAGTTTTAAAATGTAAAAACATCTGTGGTAAGTGCTTTCTTTTTGTGTCCTAAAACGTTTTTTGATTTCCTTTTTTTTATATATAATTTTAGCTTTTACAATTTTGACTTTGCTATTTCTGAGGATGGAATTAAATGAAAATTCCGAAACGTAAAAAAAATAAAAATAAATAAATTGTTTCATTTTTCAACCTGACTGACTCCCAAGAAAACCTCCACTATAAATAATAACTGTACACAAAATTTAGCTGCATGGAGTGGGCGCCGGCAGAGTACAACAATTTTAAATATTTTAAGGTTTGCACCCAGCGACGTGTTCTCTACCAACTCTCTCGACTCGATCCCGCGTCCCGCGCCCCCATTTTTTTTCCCCCAAAAAACTGGTGATTCATCACCTCATCAATTTCAAGGCAAAGCAACCAGTGTTTCGAGTGTGCTTTAGCGAACGCATCGCTTGGCCCTTTAAGTCTTTAATATAAGGTTCATAAACAAATAACAAACAGTATAAAAATTACCAATATTAGTCCAACGCTGACATACATATTCGATGATAATTATTGCTTCTTTTAGACGTACCTGTTTCACGTGGAAAACCATCCAAATATAACTTGGTATGTTCAGTGCGTAACGTATCACAGTTTTCCGACCTATGTACACGAGCTGGCCTATAGTGTCTCTGGAATGGTGATGATGTACGCTTTTCCTTTGACGGTGATAATATTTTCGTATTCGTCGATTTTGTTGGAGATTTTTAGACGCACAAGGAATCCTGGCTGTGGTAAGAATGAACATTTGACATATACTCTAGAGATCATATTGGCTGTGTTCCAGCAGGCATCAGAACCGTTCTAGAACCGTAAATTCCAGTCGATCAACTCATTTGTCAATTAGGATAAACGTTGAACTTATTAAAAAATAGGTGGGCAACAGGAAATTACTAGTTCTGGAACAGCTCTCATGTCTATTGGAACAGAGCTAGAATTATTATATTAGGGTACCTACTATTTTATTTTTCAGTCGAAATGAACCGACCAATTAACTAATTTCAAAGCGTAGATGCTTTTAATGATTTTAACGCTCTCTTGGTCAACTTGTCCTGGGATAACTACTATTTTGAATTGAAGACATTCACCATTCTGCTTTATTTGAGTAGAGTCTTGAACAAAAAAAAAATAGGGAATCAAATTATTTCTCATTATTTTGTAAGCTTCTTATGCTAAAGCTATCAGACAAAATGAGGAAATTATCAGTTATGACAAATATGCCTATATTATTAAAAAATATTAGATAACGAGAAATATTCTAGGAAATATGTTTCAAAAACTGCACTTACTAAAACTTCAAATTAATACCAGCATTTAACTTGAATATAAGAAATACATCGCGACCCTCCGCCCTTCGGTCCTTTGAAATTGTAAGAATGAAATATATTATTTTATTTCCTCAAAAACTACCCATACTGATAGGCACAAGTTTATGCCAGGCATTAAAGTAAATATGAAAACTACATAAAATTATATCGCGTCCCTTCGCCCCTTCGATCATTTGAAGTTTTAAGGGTGAAATAAGAATATTCAATTAACTCAATAACTGCCCATACGGATAGGTTAAAATTTATGCCAGGCATTAACGTAAATATGAGAAACTCGAAAAAAATTACTTCGCGACCCTCTGGTCCTTTGAAATCTTAAGAGTGAAATATTATTATTTTATCTCCTCAAAAACTGCCGATACTGACAGGTTTAAAATCGCTACCAATTTTTCTTTGAAGCCGCGTGTCCTGGTATACATAGAGTTATACATAGGTACAACGATATTTAAGCACATATTTAGTTAGCTTGGTGCTTACCAAGAGAGAATATGGAAACCGTAAATTTATGATTATTTGGCTTAGATTCTATAAGTCATTTATACAGGGTTTAAATCAATAGGAGCTACCAACTCCCAGGACAGGTAGTATATACCTAGTCATCAAAAAAGAAAAAAATATTTTAACAATCAGGGTTCGAACATGCTTCGTTTTTAAGATACAGGCATTTTTTATTTTATTTGTTTGCTGATAAATACCACCTGCCTTACAAGTTTTTAGCTCCTTTTATATATACAGGGTGAGTCACTAAGCGCGAGGTGGTCCATATCTCCTATACTAATGGAGATCGAAAACAAAAATAAATATAAAACTTGTAGATAAACATGAGTACTACATTCCTTGCAAAAAAGAACACCACGTATCGTGTCTGGCGTAGAAACCAATGAGAACAAACTCTATCGTCTTTTACGGCTGCCAGAAATGATTGCAACCGTATAACCGACAAGGCTAAGGAGTTACAAAACGGACAAGGGCGTAATCGACTTTTGGACTGCTCGATTGAATCAAGGTCCTTTTGATCCTTTGCCAAGACCATAGGAAAAAAAATCACATTTTTTTTCTCCACTTTTGGTTAAGGACAATAATTCCATTGTAGTATCGTCAAAGGAAAAAGCGGATCTTTTTGCCAAACAATTTGCATCCAATTCCACGATGGAGGATAATGGCAGAGCGCCACAGGAACTGTCGCACTTTGGTTCTCACGTGGCAACGTTGTATTTAGACCCACAAGTATTAGGAAAATTCCTCTGCAACTTGACACTGGGAAATATTGTGGTCCCGACAGCATTCCAACAATTGCCCTCAAAACTTGAGCACAAGAATTGGCTACAATTGCAAACTGTTTTCACTCTCTTACCGTTCAGGCGTTCTGTAAATGTGCCAGAGTGCAGCCCGAAAAAGGGCCAGAAACTCTTCCTAGCAATTATCGTCCCATCTCACTTATATTCGTACGTTCGAAAGTAATGGAAAAAGCAGTCAACCTAACACTGGTTAAATACCTCGAAGCTAATAAGCTCATCTCTGACAAAGAGTACGGGTCTCGTTCTGAAAGATCAACAGGCGATCTGCTGGCGTACGTCAGTCATATTTTGGAACTAGACTCTCGAAAAACATGGCGAATCCAAAATTGTAGCATTGGACATCTCCATGGCTTTTGATCAGGGTTGGCACAAAGGTCTCTTCAGCAAACTTCCATCGGATCGTCTTCCGAACGAATGTTCTTATTGGCTGGGGAGCTTTTTGAAAGGCAGGTCAGCGCATGATCTGGTCGATGATGTGTCTTCTGATGCACTGCCTATAAATGACGGTGTTTCTCAAGGCTCAATTCTGTCCCGAACACTGTTTCTTATTTTTATAAATGATTTCTTAAATGTGACAAGAAATCCCATATACAGCTTTGCGGATGATAGTACCTTGATCAATCAAAGATTGCTTTGATTACAAAAACGTACGTCGCATTGTTGTTTCTTTATTGGTCAGGATTTTTGACATGCCATTTTGACATTAAAGTACATTGACAAAATTAAAGAAAAATATTGCTAAGACATACGTTTAAAAAACCATAGCAATCTTTGATTGTTTTTTTTTTTTTTTTGAAGACCCGATAGCATCTTTCTCTTCTGACAAACCGCTTACTGCAGCCATTTCCACACGTCTCACTCGAGAACAGATCCACTCTATCAACAGTGATCTTGACACCATTACCAACTGGAGCCTTAACAACCTAGTCAAATTCGATGCTTCCAAAACTCAAGCAATAGTATTCTCAAATTAGAAATCTTCCGCCGATGATAACTCAGTTTTGAGGATTTCGGGACAAAACCTTTCTAGCAATTCCTCAGTATCTCTTCTTGGGGTGACCGCATCGACCAACTTGTCTTGGCATGACCATGTATCTTCGATCTCCAAAATCCCTTCTGAAGAATTAGGATTTTCGTTTCGTGCAAAAAATTTCTTTGCTTCTGAGCATCTTCTTTCCTTTTATAAGGTCAAATCAGATCATGCATGGAATACTGTTCCTACATCCGGAGCGATGCTTTCAAGCATTCGTTGGCTCTATCAGATGCGGTACAAAGAAGCGCAATAACAATGATCGATAGTCCAACTTTCACCGACTCATTTCAATCTCTCGAACATGGACGCAAGATAGCCGACTTGTCGTTATTCTATCACTATTACCATGGGAGATGCTCTAATAGTCTAAGATCCGAATAGGAAAGGATCTGCACCCATCTGTTTATTGGGTAAAAATTATTTTATATCAAAGTTAGTATGTTAAAAAATATATCAGGTATGGGTTGGCTAAAAAATTCCTGGCCAGACTATTATTAATAAATAATTCAAAAATTATAATTGTTAAAGGCATTGCACTCATTTTTTTAACGAACAAATTCCATACTAATCGAAAGTATAGGGCCTAAAGAATATAAAAACGTTGGATTGTCTATTTGTTTCCTGGCATAACTATCGGGTTGGCAGGTTTGAACAGGTGAGTCGATACTAGTAATTCACACCCATCTGTTTAATGAATAAATCTTATATCAAAAAAAAAAAGTTATTTTATTGCGAACACGATGATATAGGATTGTCTGCGAAAAATCTGGCCTGAATGACGGTTGGCGAGCTTTGAAAAGCGAAATTTTGGTGCGGATGGAAATATGCGACAGAGGGGTGTAAGATTTATACATTAAACAGATGGGTGTAAATTACTAGTATCGACTCACCTGTTCAAACCTGCCAACCCAATAGTTATGCCAGGAAAAAATAGACACCCCAACGTTTCTCTATTCTTTAGGCCCTATACTTTCGATTAGTATTGTAACGTTTTCAATTTCTTGGCTAATAAGCTACTTTGTTTTGCTTTAGTAGATATGATTCCATATAGAACTACAATGAAATAAATGAATAAACAACTATCTTTTCTGTGCCCAGATTTTGTTACCTTGAGTACTGCCTTCTACTAGAAGTTTTTTTGGTTCAGGTTTGCAAGTTTGGTTAATTGATCTAGGAAGGTTTGATTCAGTACGGCAGGGCCCGCTGTTATTGATTAGAATCTTAGGAAAATGAGTTAGTACCATCACCATCTCTGTTTTCAAATCCAATCAATAATCTGAGGTTATGATAATAATTGTTGTTTTTTTGTACTCTTTGACTTTTCATCTCGATCATGTCATTGAACAGCTGTTTTGTCTAGGCGTTTTCTTTAGACCTGTTCTACCTTTTGATATATGTTCTATAGGCACTTTTCAACATTCACCAGTCATTTTTTACACAACCGATTTTCAGTTCGTACTTTTGGGGTGAAACTGAACACGTCCTTTTCTATAATTTTCTTCAATGTCAAAATTAGAAGTTTGACAGATGAAGGTCTTCTTCCGAAATCTAAATTCTAAATGAAGAATCTGCCCTTTTGATCTGCGACCTCACGCTGAGTAGTCGTCCGGTCTCGGGCCTCGGCCCTAATTGTTTTTGGGGCGAGACTTTTTGGAATTTTGTGCCAGGGAGCTCAAGTTTTAGACTAATTTCTTGCTGATAATTGTCTAGAGTCGTCCCTTGGTCATTTTTGGATTCTGTTTCGGTAAGTTTGAGATTTTCTTCAGGAAATATTGGCCTACAGCACGTGTTCCATTTTTTTAATAGGACTGTTCCGAGCAGCATTTGGAAGTTTAAGACTTCACCTTTGGTCTAGAGTATCCCTCAATTTGAGGTAAGAGTATTTCTAATATTAGGGGCTCGATTTGTTTTTTTATACGAACATCGTTATAGGGTCCTAGTCTTAGGCTATAGTTGGACAATCCTACTCTTAGGCTATAGTTGGACAATCCTAGTGCTAGGCTGTAGCTAGACAGTCTTAGGCTATAGTTGGACAGCTCCTAGAAAGAAATTCTAGACTAGATCTAAATTGCCCT